GTACACAGGATGAGCGGCACCATCATTGATGGCAACACGACGTGTCAATTCCATCACACAGTGGTGTACGCTCGGGGAAGTGGGAGAGAGTGAGGAGGAGAGCGAGGAGAGAGAGTCGCTGGACAAACATCTGGCCTCCGGCAAGCTCTGGCCTAGAAATGACGAATATGGCAGGTACTCTCCCATGAGTACCTGTGAGCCCCGGCATCAGACCTGTATCCGTGCGCACACCCGTGGGAACGAGTATCTGTATCCACGGATACAGGTACCCGATGGTGTGCCTTACGAGTATCCATTGCAGGTACTCACGGGTCCTGGTACTCGTGGCATGCCCTGCGTTGGAAGTGTAAAAACTTCCCAGATGGGTCACGTACCAAAACCGAACAACAAGAACAGAATATCCACGTTGTACACAACCACTGGGTATACACAGACCATCCAGACATCAGAGCAAAAGATCCCGACTACAAACACCTTAACGTTAAATCCGAGGAAGACACATCACCTCCACCACTAGGAGAGGAAACAAGTGGAACACCAGCACCACCACCAGGAGAAGGAACAGGTGGAACACCAGCACCACCACTGCCACCACCACCAAGTGATTCATCAGACTCCGGAGACAGCTCTGACTCAGACACAAACAGTGACTCTGACAACAGAGATGACATGGCAAAAGACACCAAGATCAGTGCATCTGATGACTTTAAAGGTGAAGCCTCTAAAGTTCAGGAATTCATAATCAGCTGTGAATTATACTTTGCGGCCAACCCAGAGAGATACGCAGATGATGACAAGAAGATTATCTTTGCCCTGTCATATATGAAGGGAGACACGGCAGGAGCATGGAAAACGGTCTTCTTGGACAAGGTCAATGGATCTGAAGAAGATAGTGATGATGAAGACGAAAAGAAAGGCCTGGGCATATCTCACGTAACACACAAGAAGCCAGAGTATGGAACCTGGAAGGATTTCAAGGCACAAGTTCAAAGGGAATTCGAGCATGCCGCCCAGGAAATTCAGAGCCGATTTGATCTAGATAATTTCTGCCAGGGAAACATGAATGCCACCAACTACATCACCAAATTCAAGATCCTTATTTCCAAAAGCAAGATCAAAGGAAATAATGCAAAGGTCACATTCTTTCAGACAGGCCTTAATCGCGCACTCCGCACCAAGATCTACAGCACATTTCCATTACCGGAGACATTTGAAGAATGGTGCGAGAGAGCCGCTGCCATGGATGCCCAATGGAGAGCATCCAATACCTCTACCCCGGGCAATCACAGCTGATCCTCTAACTGGAGGAACCGCTCGAACACGACCTAAGTCCGAGCAGTCAACCTCAGTTTCCAGGAACGTCAGAAGTACAGTGGCACACAAAAAGAATGCAGGTGGCACTGTGGCCCCGACCATGATCCGATGTTTTTTCAGTCATGCTATGTGATCTTTCTTGGTGTTTTGCATCATGGAATAGGCCTATATGTGGTGTCTATGAAGGTTTTCCTCAGACTTTAATAGTTTGGTTTTTTTCAAAATGAAGTCACACACAGGAAGGTCAGGGAGAACTACGTACATTGAAGTTGTCCGAAGGAGTCTGAAGTCTGACAGAGTTTGACAAAGTTAGCTGAAGTCCGACAAGCTCCGACGAGCTCTTCCAAGATTTTCTGGGGTTTTCCGGCTGCAAAAATGGGCGCGGACCGGCGACGCGCTCGAACGCGCTCGTCGGAGTTCATACAACCTTGTCCTCCAGCGTCAGTGTGAACCTCAATCGCGCAAGTTGTCTTGGGTTGGACTAGGCCAGAGCAAATTATCACTCACCAGATTAACCAATAAAATTGGAATTGAGCTCTAATGAACTCTCATAAGCTCAGACCAAGGATAGTGAGCTCTTCTGAGCTCTTCCAAGGTCGTCCGGGATCAGATGGCATACGAGTGCGGTAAGTTGTCCCAGATATGATGGATTTTGATTCGGTTTGCTGGAGTTTTCTCTGCCCTGAGTTTGTACGCTGAGATTGCACGAAGTCAGCCGAGGTTGGCTGAGGTCTGACGTGGTTTGACATGGTTTTCCACGGTCAAATGGAGACCTCACCAGACCTAGTCAAACTCCTTCCTCATTCGTATTTCCAACAAAGTAGCTACCTTCTGTCCAAAAAAACCCATCATAGGTGTCTTCAGAATGTGTAAGATCTGCGTGAATAGCTATAAATATAGTTGTAGAATGTCTGATTTGAATATAATCATTGATTTTCCGATATTTTAGTTTGCACTTGGAAGACCTTATCAAATCAGATGAACCAAAGTATTTAAATGATATTCAGAAGGTATATTGCAAGATTGGGTATGCAACTGGACAGTATGATGCTCATGTGTGATTCTGGCTAGGAGGGACATTTTCAAAATAAAATACAGGTATCATCATGGTGTTCCAGAATATGCAGGCTATACCATAATCTACTATATATAACACATGAAGAAGGTACAATGTAGGATTGAATCATTTATAGGGTAATTGGAGTGGTTATCACTGCTACTGTGTCTTCTGCAGGCTTTTGGTGATCCCTGCATTTTGTTGCAAAATTGTCCCTCCTAGCCAGAATCACACATGATTTTCATACTGTCCAGTTGCATACCCAATCTTGCAATATACCTTCTGAATATCATTTAAATACTTTGGTTCATCTGATTTGATAAGGTCTTCCAAGTGCAAACTAAAATATCGGAAAATCAATGATTATATTCAAATCAGACATTCTACAACTATATTTATATCTATTCATGCAGATCTTGCACATTCTGAAGACACCACATACAGGCCCATTCCATGATGTAAAACACCAAGAAAGATCACATAGCATGACTGAAAAAACATCGGATCATGGTCGGGGCCACAGTGCCACCTGCATTCTTTTTGTGTGCCACTGTACATTCAGGAAGGAAGGTGTTTTAGGTGCGACCAGATTGGACATCGTGCTGCCGATCCCAAATTCCACCCAAGGAACAACCAAGGTGCTCTAGGCAAAAACACCAATCCCTTCCGTCAGCCAATTTGCCAGACCAATGTCACTAGCCAATTGGCATCAACCTCGACTCCGCAACAGAATGAAGCCTTACCCCAAGGCAAGAATGCAATACAAGAACTTGTTCGCAAAATCCAGAATATGACAAACGAAGACCAGGATACTGTCCTAGAAATGTTTAGGGAAATAGAAGAGGATGGGAGAGACACAGACTCGAACAATGGAAAGGATTTTTGAAAGGCCTGAAGCTTGTGACACAACTTCAGACACGGACATGGTTTCCTCTTGATGTACTCATACGGACAATAGCTATTCCACAATCTATGCATTTTCCAGTTTACATTAGAGGGAATCATCAAGACGTCTACACCCGCGCCCTAATCGACTCTAGAGCCAGCGGGCTATTTATCCATTGGAATCTTATTTAAAAACACTGAATCCCCACCAAGGCCTATGCAAAACCTAAAATTGTTCGAAATGTGGACAACTCTGCCAATATCCTAGGAAAAATCACGAACTACGTCAAAACTACTCTCAAAGTCAGTGATCATGAAGAAGAAGCTAAATTCTCTGTCACCAACATAGGAGAAGACGACTTAATCCTAGGACTTCCTTGGCTACCGAAACATAATCTAGCTCTTAACTGGAGAGACGGACATATGCTGTTCCAAGACTGCCCTCTTTCTTGTAAACTTACAATGCACAAAAAGAGGAAACAGAAGAAGAAGACCTTTAAAGCAATCAAAAAACATTGTGCCTTCAGAATCATAGGAGGCATAAGGACGACGTTCAGGAAAATAGTAGCAAAAACTATGTTTTCCAAACAAATCCAGAAATGATTGGATCAACATCATTATAGGATACACATCAAGGAGGCCGGACAGGCCTTTATAAAAACTATGGAACTAGGAGAAGATGACGAAGTATGGTGGACACCAGGATTTGAAGAAGACAAAAAAGAAGAATTTGTACGACGTGCTTCAAAATCAACTAAGCTCGCTGAAGAAGCTTCAAAGACCAAGGAAGCTCACACCTATGAGGAAATTGTACCAGAACAATATCAGCAATTCCAAAAGGTCTTCAGTGATGAAGAGTCGAAATGATTCCCCACTTCCAAACCCTGGGACCATCATATAGATTTTAAACCTGACACTGTACCACAAAGTACGTGCAAGGTTTATCGTCTCACCGCAAATAGCCCTCGACAAATTCCTAAACGAACATTTGGAAAGAGGAACAATCCGTAAATCTCCACTCGCATTGCCTTTTTTCTTTGTCAAGAAAAAAGACAGAGAACTACGACCAGTTCAGGATTATAGGAAGGTCAATAAAATGACCATCAAAAATTGATACCCTCTACCCCTCACCACGGAACTATTCGACAGAATGGCTGCTGCCTTCATTTTCACAAAGATGGACGTCCGATATGGCACACCAATATTTTAACTTGGGGGGAGAGGCCATTGCTGCACGCAGCATGGCAGGCACGATGCCTGGTTTTTTTTTAAAATTTAACTTTGACTTTGAGTTGACTGTTTTGATCACCCTGATCAATGAGTGTACTTTGTGCCACAAGATCTTGTATATGCAGGCTACATTTTTATCACTTCAAACAATGAAAGGACTACTCAAATTTCAGTAACAGTGTAGTGAGTACTTTGGGAGGTGTAAGCCTGTTTCACTATATATGCTTTATCCACCCACCCTACCAATTTCCTAGCACCCTACCTCCTACCCTACTTCCTACCTCTTACCCTACCCCCAGGACCACCCCTGTACGCCCTAA